TAGGATATGGAGCCCAGTCTTGTGCACATAGTGAGTTCTAGGCCAGCTGGCGCTACAGGGAGACCCTGTCTCAAAATGACATTAAAAAAAATATTTTATTATTATTTTTTATGTGTATGAGTGTATTGCCTTCATGTAGGTAAGTGCACCCATGTCGTGCAATGCCCATGGAGGTCAGAGGAGGACCTCGGTTCCTCTGGAACTGGAATTATAGATAGTTGTTAGTCGCCATGTGAGTAGTAGGAATTGAAACCAGGTCCTGTCGAAGAGCAGCCAGTGCTAATCTATCTTCCAGCCCCTTTGTTTTGTTTTTCATTTTTGTTTTTTTGAGACAGGGTCTCACTGTGTTGACCAGGTTGGTTTCGAAATCACAGAGATCTCTACCTCCAAGTGCTGGGATTAGAGCCATGGGCCACCATGCCTATCTTGGGAGGTCTTTTTTTCCCCACATCTTCACTGGCATTTGTCCCTGTTTTATATGTTCACCAGTAGAAGTAGTTTTTTTTTTTTTTTTTTTTTTTTTTTTTTTTTTGTTTTTTTTTTTTTTTTTGTCTTTTTTTTGAGACAAGGTCTCCCTGTAGCTCCAACTGGCCTAGAACTTGCTATGTAGACCAAGCTGGAAATGTTTTTATGTAGCTGTGCCTATTACCCTACCAAAAATTGGTGGTAATGGGCTGGAGAGATGGCTCAACAGTTAAGAGCACTGGCTACTGTTATAGGGATCCACCTGCTTCTGCCTTCTGAGTGCTGGGATTCAAAGTGTGCACCACCACACCCAGCATTATGGTTGTTTTTAGATTGTGTGTGTGTGTGTGTGTGTGTGTGTGTGTGTGTGTGTGTGTGTCAGAGGACAACTTGAAGAAGTCAGTTCTCTCTCTCTCTCTCTTTGTACCATATGGATCCTGGGGCTGGAACTCAGGTCATCAGGCTTGGCAGCAAACACCTTTACCCACTGAGCCATCTCACCAGCCCAAATTCTGCATTACTAACAGACTTTAAGAATGTCCTGGTTGAACTGGGCAGGAAGTGTGCTTACTCCTCCAGTCATATCTGCAACTCTTTTTGTGTTTTTTTGTTTTGTTTTTGTTTTTGATACACACAGGGTCTCACTCTGTAGCCCTGCCTTGCTTGGGACTCACTATGAAAGTTTCCAGCTTTCCTGTAATCTTCCTGCCTCAGTCTGCCAAGTGCTAAGATTACAAAGAACCACACCAGGTTCTTTTTAAAATTAATTAATTAATTAATCAATTCATTCATTCATTCATGCATTCATTCATTCATTGAGATGGGATCTTACTCTGTACAGGTGTGAGCCATTATGTCTTGAGATTTTTCCAAACCCTTTTTCTTAACTGGACAAGGTAGTTGCATGCTTGTAATTCCAGCACTTAGGAGGTGAAGACAATAGGATCAAGAGTTCAGGTCCAGTCTCTATTACATAACACGTTTGGAGCCAGCCTGGGCTACATGAGACCCTGTTTCAAAAACAAGCAAGTTAGTTCAGGGGGTAAAACCATTTGCCCACCTAGCCTGATGTCCTTGAGTTTGATCCTGGGAACTCATGATGAAGGAGAGAATTGACTCTTAAAAGTTGTCCTCTGGGCCAGGTGTGATGGCACATGCCTTTAATCCCAGCACTTGGGAGGCAGAGGTGGGCAGTGAAATCTCTGTGAGCTCCAGGCCAGCCTGGTCTACATAGCGATTTCCAGTCCAGCTGAGGCTACAGGAAGACCTTGTCTCAATAAAACAAGCAAAAGCAACAACAACAACAAAAAAATTGACATCGCAAGTTGCAGGCCAGTCAGAGCTATGTAATAAGACCTTGTCTAAAAAAAAAATTAAGGCAATAAGGAGATAGACTATATATATGTACATAAACCATTGTCTTTGTAGATTCCATATGAATATTTATTAAAACAACAGTATATCAGTGGTTTAAAATCAGAAAGCTTTTAAATAAGATTAAGATAATAGGTGCTCCCCAAAAAGGCAGATGGAGTCAATCAACAACAATTGTCCCTTGATTCTATTGCATCTATATAAACAGAGGTTTCTCTACACAAATTCTGAAATGAATGGCTTAGGGTTTAAAACCCCTTCACAACACAAACATTTTAGGTTCATAATTGACACTTAAATACTTCTTGATTGGTGAGATATTCCATTTGCTAAGAGAAAGTTGAGTTCAAGTTCATCTAAAAAGTCCCTGAGAAAAGAATGTACTATTGAAGGTGGATCAGATCTCAGCGTGCACATCATTATTTGAGAGAGGCACTAGCTGCAGGCTTCCATGTTTCCATCCTTTAAACCAGTGAAAGAAAGGAAATCTAGGCTCTTCAACTTGGCCTCTGCATTATCAGTAAACTCCCTGGTGGCTTTCTGCAGTGGAAGCCGGGGTGGGCCCATTGGAATCCCAGAGACCAGCGTCATGATGGCTTTGGTCTGCGACACTCCAAAACCTAGATAGGAAAAATAAAAGAGGAAACATATCTGTACTGTCCATTTCCCCCATGAACATCCCAAAGAAGAGCTCATATGCCAACCGTGACGAAAGGATATGGTGAGAAGAAAAGATAAGAACACTTGTAGTCACTGTGACAGATGGAACTGGGTATCGTGGCACACACCTCCAGAAATAGAGGCAGGTGAATCAAGAGTTCAAGGCCAGCCTGGGCTACATGAGACTCTGTCTCAAACACATAAGCACATACTGCTCTTTAAGGGGACCTGAATTCAGTTCCCAGCACCCATATCAGGTGGCTCACAACTGCCTGTAACTACAGCTCCAGGGGATCCAACACCTTCTTCTGGCCTTCACAGGCCCCTGCACTCATACACACACACACACACACACACACACACACACACATACAAGCATACATACACAATCTAAAAGTAATCAAAAATAAATAATAAAAAACAAAAACAAAAAATCATTTCCTGCTCTTCCAGAAGACCTGAGTTTGGTGCCTAAGCACTCACATTGGGCAGCTGTCAACAACCTGTAACTCTAGCTCCATGGGAGCCAACACTCTTTCCTGGCTTTTGTGGGCACTGCACTCATGTACATATAATTCATTCATTCTCTCTCTCTCTCTCTCTCTCTCTCTCTCACACACACACACACTGGTGGTTTGAATGAGAATATCCCATATAGGCTCCAAGTATCTGGACATTTTGTCCCCAGCTGGTGGCACTGTTGTGGGAGATTTTAGGAAGTGTGGCCTTGCTGGAGGAAGTATGTCAATGGGGGTAAGTTTTGAGAGTTCTTAAGCCTTGCTGGATTTCCAGTTGAGCTCTGCTTCCTGTGCCTGCTTAAAGATGTGACCACTTAGCTTCTGCTCTGGCTACCTTACCATGCCTCCCCACCATGACAGACTCTAATCCCTCTGGAACCTGGACACATAAACTCAAATAAACTCTTCCTTCTATAAGTTGTTTGGTGAGTGTTTTATCATAGCAACAGAAAAGTATCTAACACACATACATAAAATAAAATAAATTCTGAAAAAAGGAGAGAAAAGAAATTCCTCTTCTTGGACCTGTGAGATGGCTCAGTAGGTAAAGACACTTGCTATGAAGCATGACAATCTGATGACCTGAGTTCAGTCCCTGGGACTTCTGAAAGTTGTCCTCTGATCTCCACACTCATGCCATGACATAAGCAAGCAAGCAAGCAAGCAAGCAAGCAAAAACATCAATCAATCAGTCAATCAATCAATCAATCAATCAAAATAAAAATAGTGGCTGGAAAGATGGGTCAGTGGTTAAGTGGACTTTCTTCTCTTACAGAGTATTTGAGTTCAGGCCTAGCACCCACCCACATCATATAGCTCACAACCACCTGTAACTCCAGTTCCAGGGGATCAACACCTCTGGCTTCTGAGGGCACCTGCATACATGCAGACACACACAAACATATAATTTAAAATAATTCCAGGACAGCTGGGGCTACAGGGAGACCCTGTCTCTAAAAGACCAAAAAAAAAAAAACCTAAAAAATAAAAAAAAGAAAATCCTCTTCTTGCTTCAAATACAGAAATGCTGGGAAATTTTAAACAAATTGATAAACTATAAAACACAAAGATGCAGCCAGGTGTGGTGACATATGCCTTTAATTCTAGCATGTGGAAGGCAGAGGCAGGGTGATCTCTGAGTTCAAGGCCAGCCTGTTCTACATAGTGAGTTCCAGGCCAGCTGGGACTACAGGGAGACCCTGTCTCAAAATGACAAAAAATAAATAAATAAATAAATAAAATAAAATAAATAAAAAACAAGCAAAACAAAAAAACCCCAAAAGATGCTGGGAATGTAGTTCAGGGGTAAAGTATTTGCCTAGTATAGGAGAACATAGCTTAGTGGGTAAAGGCATCTGCTGCCAAGCCTGATGACTTGAGTTTTATTCCCAGGATCCACATGCTTGAAGGAGAGAAATGATTCCCTCAAGCTGTCCTCTGACCTCCATGTAGACCGTGGTAAGTGTAAGCATATACATAAATGTACACAAAATGTATAAAATAAAAACAAAACCAAACAACTGCCTCTCCCTTCAAAGAATTAAAGTCAACCTTAAAAGCAAGAAGGAGCTAGGTATGGTGGAACATGTCAGTAATCCTAGTATGAGGATTAAGAGTCCAAAGTTGAGGTGCAGAGATGGCGCAGCAGTTTAGAGCACTGGATGCTCTTGCAGAGGACCCAGGTTCTATTCCTAGCACCCACATTGCAGATAACAAGGGTCTGTAACGCCAGTTCTTGGGGATCTGATACCCTCTCTGACTTGCTTGGGCATTGCAGGAAATGAGTGCACTTACATAATGCAGGCAATACAGTCATATACATAAAATAAAAATAAATAAAACATTAAAAGAGAAGAGTCCAAGGTGGATTCCTGAAGCTCAATGGTCAGTTAGTCAAGTAAAATAAATGAGCTTCAGACTCAATGAGAGACCCTGTCTGAAAAACTAAAAGTGGAGGGGCTGGAGAGATGGCTCAATGGTCAAGAGCACTAGCTGCTCTTGCAGAGGAACAGGGTCTGGTTCCCAGCACCCACACAGTAGCTAACAACTGCCCTTAACTCCAGTTCCAGTGAATCTGACACCCTTTTCTGGCCTCTGCAGGCACTGCATGACATGGGAGCATGTACATACATGTAGGCAAAACACACATACACATAAAATAGAAAAAAATTTTAAAGTGGAGAAAGAAATCTGATGTTGACCTCTGATCCCCACACATACGTGCATATTCACATAAGTATGTATCACACACACACAAACACAGAGAGTGAGAAATTCCAAGTCTGTGTCACAGGTGAATATTGACTCCAAGTTTGCATAATAGACTTGGTCTAGGTTCCAGACTAAGAAACTGGCCTAATGACTAGTTAGAGTCAGTGGAACTAAGGTGCACTAGCAGAGGTAACTGGAAATCCACTTGATAAGTTGACTTCCATTGTCAATTTGACGTACCTTGGAAAAGGGAATCTCAACTGGGAAATTTCCTCTATTGCTTGTGGGTATAATATATATATCAAGTTCCAGGCCAGCTGGGGCTATAGAGAGACCCTATCTCAAAACAAAAAAAACAAAAGACAAGATTATACATACATATAATTTGTACGTGTGTGTGTGTGTGTGTGTATGTGTATGTGCCTGAGTCTATGTATGTGTGCTACCAGCATGCAGGTGCCTGAGGAGGCCAGAAGAAGATGTCAGATCCTTTGGAACTGGAATTACAGGCAATTATAAGTTGTCATGTGGATCCTATGAAAGAGCAGTAAGAACTCTTAACTGCTAAGCCATCTCTCCAGCCTAGATGTGAGGCATTTTCTTGATAGTTGAGTGATATAGGAGGGCCCAGCCCAATGTGGGTGGTGCCACCCCTGGTCAAGTGGTCCTAGGTTGTATAAGAAAGCAGGCTGAGCACAGGCCAGAGGAACAAACCAGTAAGCCCCATTCCCCATGGCCTGTGGTACAGTTCCTGCCTCCAGGTTCCTGTCCTGAATTCCTTTCTGGCCTCCCTCAAAGATGGACTGTAAGCTCGAAGGTA